CCCACTCCCCGTCCCCCTGTGCCGCGCGGGGCGAGGCGGGGGACAACTCGGGAGCGAAGTTGAGCCGGGAAGAAGGGAGAGCAGCGGGGAAGGGGTTTTAAGATTCGTGTTTAGTCCTCGTTACCCTACCCGCATTTGATTGGCAATAAATTAAATTAATTTTTTCCACAATTTGAATCTGTTTTGCCCGTGACGGCAGTCGCCGACTGATCTCTCCCTGTCCTTATCTCCACCCATGAGCTTCTCGTTGTGTTTATTTGTTCTCTGCCCCGTCCAGCTGAGGAGGGGAGCGATGGAGCAGCTTTGGTGGGACATCCAGCCAGGGTTGGCCCACCACATCAAGTGGAAAAATGAAATCTTTTTTTTTTTTACATTTTTTTGGTCATTCAGATTTCACAGTAATCTTACACGTGCAAATATTTTGCCGACTGTTAATCCATGCTGTCACAAGGGTTATATTTTCTGTTACGCACCAAAATGAGTTTCAGTGGGTACAAAACCACACATAATCCACGTTTCACAAGAAGATTCAGCTGAAGATGAAAAACTTGGACAATTACTGACTGGTTTGGAACTAGTTAAATTGTTTGGGAAATCAGCAGAAATGTTGTTAACTCAAAAGGTGCGGTATTGAGCGCAGAATTTTTTATGGCATTTGGTTCCCGACAATTGGTGTATCCTTGAATTTGAGTGAGCTGAACAGGCTACGTCTCGTGTTTCTAACCTCACTTTTTGTTAATAGCTGCCTTAAAACTTATTTTTCAGCTCTAATAATCAGACCAAAGCCCCGCACCCCTGGCGACAAACTGGGGTCAATACTACTCAACTCCCATGCGTTTTGCTATCAAACAATTTACATAATTTTAAAGAAAAAAGTTTAGTGTAATACTAAGGTCATAGCTTAATTCAACCCAAGTAAAAAACCTGAATTTTAGGGTAAATTCATTTTTATTATTGTGAAAATGAATGCCTTCAGACTACAGGTGTGTCTAAGAAAAGCAGAGGGGATTCCAAAGCAATGGAGGACCCTTGCCAACAAAAATACTATGATTTTTTATTTTATTCTTGAGGTGAAGGTATTTGTGGAAAATGAAGAACCTTGAACTTTCTAAGGTATTTCTGAGGCTTCAGTTAGGCATCCAGTTTTCATGAGATTCAAATAACTTTGTGTACTTAAACCCTTCACGCGCTTTTGAAGCCTTTGTCCTTCAATATTTTCTAGAAAAGACAGAAAGCAGTTTAAACATTTATTTTGAAATGATTTTTGGAAGACATTTTATAAAACACTCAAGTTTGTATTAAAGGTGGGTTGTTTTTTGTTATTATTACGATATAGTACTATATATTATATATATTATTGCTATTATACTATAGTATTACATCATCATCATGATGATTACTTTTATTTGACAGATTTTATTGCTTTATTTGCAACCAACTGTAATATTAAGAGCAAAGGGCTTTGTTTTATGACATAGTGCTGCTAATGCTACTGCATTTCAGATCTTCTCTGATTAATATCCTATTATTTCTGTAGGCTGCTGTGAATGGGAAACTTAATGCGGTTTTCAAAAAAATGGGAAAAATATTTGAGCTTTTATTTAGCTATACTGAAATAAAATGGACGTTAGAAACTAGGAGAAGTTCCTTAACCTCAGAGAGCAAACCAAGTCAAATCACTAAAATACAGCAAAAATATATACTAAAATGGCAGACATTTGGCATTAGCATATATTCATTTAATTGGAGTTTATAGTCCTTCATCTAAGAGAAAAATAATTGGAAAAAAAGTGGATTATGACAGAGAGCTAAGAAAGGCTACCCAAAGTAACAAGAAATACTTTTCTAAGGCCAGGAATAATACAAAAAAAGAAATACGCATAATGAAAGGGTCAAAAATGGCTAAGTTAGGTGGCTTTCTGGCACCCCCAGCAGCATATAACATCATGACTTGATAGGTAACTTCTGAACTTAAAAAAGACTACCCAAAAAATCAGGATTTCAGGAAAATGTAGGAATATTGACACACTGGATCAACTTGACAAAATAATTCTCAGAACATTAAATATCAACACTCATTTTTCCCTCTTGAAAAAATTATCAGGATTTCATAGATTATTGCAGTTCGTGCCGCAGCTGCTCAGCGGGGTAGCTTCTGAAGGTAATTGTAACGATAAGAATAATTAGCATTTTTTGGTCTTCTATCTTTCCTTTTCTAACGCTATCTCATTGCGCACCGCAACTGTAATTTCTTTCTTCACATTTTAGGTACCACTAGTAACAAATCCTACATTTCCTATGACTTTAAGGTTTCCAATGTAAGTATATATTTTTCTAAAGGATCTAATTTTAATTTCCAATTTTCATCAATAATATATTCCATGGATATTCCCTTATTCCCTCCCTATTTTCCTAAAACATTTACTAAAAAATGAAGTATTTGACAAAGTCTAAGAGGTGTCATTTCAAAGTATTGTCACTTGACCCAGATGGAAATCTGATATTTGTCTTTTTTCCTGTGATTATTTTTAATATCTGAAGATTCCCCATTTCCTGCTACTTTATAGAAAAAAAAGTTCATACAGTTTGTAAGAGTTGATAGAGCAGAAAAACTGTAAAGCATCAGTGGCAGTTAGGAGAAGAAAGGAGATGAATGGATTGTTTGTGAGTCTCAAGAATTTGAAACATTGACAAAAATCTCAGTATATTGGAAAAAAATGTAGCTGAATGTCTACAGTGAGAACATGTCAGAACCCAGAGCATCTGCATCATGATTTTTTGTGGTAGAAAGAAAGTTTTACATCGGTGTATGTGGCAGTCGAGAGGCTGGACTCATCTAATATAATATTATGTCAAATGTAATTGAACTGAGCCCGGCCTTTCTATGTCAAGAACGGTGAATGCATTATATGCATACATATGCCACGCATATAATACAGAAACATATACATATATATATAACAATTTTATATATATAAAACACAGAAAAATGTGCCGCCTGTCGGTTTAAATGAGGAGAGATGTTGGCAATTCATTGCAATTATTTCATTATTCCTCAGAACGTTCTACAGATGAATGTCACAAACAACAACTATGCCGATCCAAACAACCTGATGTTTGAAGAAATCAAAATATTGGGATTGCTCCAGGAACCAGTATCAGTTACTGTGTTGCAGAACAACGACGTACAAAATTCTTCCCATAATATCACCTATAATCCTGTAGATAAGGTAAAAAATAATTGGAAAACTGGACGGAAAAATCTCTGGAGTTGTACCGCCTGTATTTTCTGTATCAAAAAGGAGAGTATTCAGTACAGCATATGTGATGTATTTTGCTAAAAAGTACAATTATGTTATTTGCCGTAATAATAAATAATGTTAATAATAATAATGTTAATAATAATGTTAATGACGTTAAAGAGGATGGATCAGATTTTTATTTTTGCATTTATTTATGCAGGTATATTCAATTTATAAGGGCAGGAGCAGCTTTTTTCAGTTGATATTGTAGGAGGGTAAATAATATCTACATTTTTAACTACTTACTTTTAATTTAAAAAGACTAAGGAGCCGTGCACTTATCTTCACCCCGGGCGTGCTTCCGTGGGACTTGCGGGATCAGATCTTTTCCAGATCTTCTGTGCAGGAATTTCAGATGTGTGAATTTGTAAAAATCAGGGTGTCTCAGGAGAGATGCTAAGTTTTGCACGTGTTTCTGCATACAGCAGTTTCTTGTTTTTAAGGATCTGAAAAAACGTTGCCGGGAGGTAGAATTTAATAATGGTTTATTGTTTAATATTTACAGGTTGCTCTCATACAAGGACTCCAGCTGGTCCTGGGAAAATCGTACTCATTAAGATGGACTCTAGGAACCAGTGTCAATGAAAAATACAGTTGTCATCCCGGTCTGAACACATCCAAGGAAAAATGTGAAGAGCTCGGCTGTGTCTGGACCGTAAGCAAAAATTTGTGAAAACCGAATTTGGGAAAAAGCATGTTAAGAACGTAACTATATTTTTGTATTTTTTTACTACAAAAGAAACAATCTCATTTGTCCGTCTGTCTGAAGCCTCTCATATAAATAAGTGGTCTATTGAAACTAGCGTCATTTTCAACAATTTCTGAAGTATGTGAAAAATAGAGGAAAAAGCTAGTATTTTGTCAATTGGTAACAAATAATATTAGGGTTATAAAAAGTAGAACAGACTCGAGATCACCATCTTCATGCAACTCTCTGCCTCTGCAGCTGGGACCAGCAAGGCACATTTTTTTGGGGGGGTGGGGTGCCTTTTTGCTTTATCTTACACTTATATGCATTGAAAAATAAATAAATTTAAATAAATAATAAATACACAAATTTAAGTAAACCCGATTCCTCCGGAATTGGGAATAAGAAGAAATCCTTGTACCTCAGGGAAATTTTCATCCTCTGTGAATTTAAGTGGTTGCGTCCCTGTCTATCAGATATACCCAAATCATAACTCCTGATATTGAAGATTTTTACTGAACAGATTTTCTTTCTGGATATCACACGGCTGTAAATATATGCCAGCATTGTGCCCTGACAGGAATTCTCCTCCTTCAAATGACATTAGGCCATCATTCCCAAAAACCTTCACTTAAAAACTTGGACATACCTTCTAGGATGAAGTACTAGTAGGCACTCCTGAGGCAACAACAGGTTGAAATGGTTGATCAACTACCCTAAATTCGTCATGTGATCATAAATATTTTTACAATTTAAGATATTTGGAAACGGCTCTTCCTGTGGAGGCACATTTTGGCCAGGTTATGAGCTGGATATGTTTTAAAGCCTTTCTTCAGTCAAAAGAAGCTTTGAATTTGGTGGCCAAAGTTGGACAAAACATTCGTTAGGAACAGAGGTGGGATGAGCAGGCACAGTTTCATTTTTACAAATAGACAGGGAAAGCCATAATTATTCAGAGGTGTAAAAATGATGCATTAGCCAACATCAGCACATGTAACTTCAAAAGAATTTGAATGTCTATATGCAATTACAGAAGAAATGGAAATTTACTTTGACCTTGCCAGCAGGACATATTTGATAGATAAAACACAATTCCCAATTCGTATTCTAAAGATAATTGTGATGGGTAAAGACATGTAAAAGCTGATGGAGAGCTCTCATCCGACATCGCTGATGAATTCTGGGCACATCCTCTTGCAGGTATCCAAAATGGCCAGAAACTATAAAGACTTAAAGGTCTTTTTTTTGTGGGATTGAGGTGAAGGTCACAAATAGAGGAAATATTAAATCATAGTCACTTTGTAATGATACAGACAGGACTGAACACCTTGAACTAGTTAATTGTATCTAAAATAGTACAGAGAGCGGTGGGGTCAGCAGGGCCGCCTTTTTTTTTTACGGC